GTTAAATTACTACACACACACACACACACACACACACACACACACACACACACACACCATTCTGAGGCCCTTTGCTGGGGCCCCCACAGGCATGACTTCCTTGCATGACTCCAACCCCACTGGTTCTCAAGCGATGGACGCAGAGGCTGGCATGGGAACCCGCAGAGACCAGACCCGACCCCTGACGTCCATCCCACCTTTCCCCTTCATCCGCGGCTAGCCATGAAAAAGGGACCTGAATTCCCCCTTTCCCCATCGATTGCCCAGCTCACGTGCCATTCTGGCCCTAAGACGAACCTGTCCCACTTGGCGCTCCTTGGCTAAGCTCCAGGGACCCCCTCCAAGGCTGGGGGCGGGGGGACACTTGTTGGCAGTTTCACCGCACATCGGGTAATGGGTGGAATGATCCGCACACCCCCCCCCGGCATATGGGTTTTGATTGACAGGCCCGCCTTTTTGATCCCCTGCCACCACGTGGCTCCCGACGTCCGCGGGAGTTGTCAGGTTTGGCACGAACCCGCTCGCTGCACAGTCCCCGCTCTCCGCTCCGGGTGCGGGCCGCCGAGCAGGAGGAGGCGCAGGAGAGCGGGGATCGGCTCCCCCCACAAGCCGGAGCCCGAGCCAGGCTCCTGGTCCGTGGCAGCCGGTTCGAGGGGAGCCGCCGCGCCCAGAGGAGCCCGGGAGTCGGATGCACTTGAGGGGACGCGGGGGGGCCAGGCAGCAAACACGACCCCCGCCCCCTTCCGCGGGTCCAAGTGGAAAGTCTCGCCTCACTTTGCACCGGCGCCATGGAGCTGTCCACACTGCCCGGTGCTGGAGCCGACTCCGAATTCTTCTTCAACAGCAGCCGCCTGCGCGACTCGCCCTGGGGTCCCTTCCCCAACGAGAGCTTCAACCACACGGGGCTGCCCGGGGCCAAGGACCCCACCTCCATCATCATCGCCATCGCCATCACCGCCCTCTACTCCGTGGTGTGCGTGGTGGGGCTGCTGGGGAACATCCTGGTCATGTACGGCATCGTCAGGTACGGGCGGCTCCCACCTGGGCCAGGTGTGCGGGGGGGGGTCACCTGCCCGGCTCCAGGGAGCCAGTGGGACTAGGGTGACACGGCGGGGCAGGCTGGCCAGAAGCCAGAGTAGGTGTATGGGCGGGATATTGTGTGTGAGAGAAAGGGGGGGGGGGGTGTTTGTGTACAGAATGGGGTGTGTGTGTGTGTACAGAATAGTGTGTTTGTGTACAGAATGGGGTGTGTGTGTGTGTGTATGTGTACAGAATAGTGGGTTTGTGTACAGAATGGGGTGTGTGTGTGTGTACAGAATGGTGGGGGGTGTACAGAATGCTGTGTGGGGTGTGTGTGCAGAATGGGGTGTGTGTGTGTACAAAATGGTGTGTGGGTGGGTGTGTACAGAATGGTGTGGGGGTGTACAGAATGGGGTGTGTGTGTGTGTGTACAGAATGGTGTGGGGTGTGTTTGTGTACAGAATAGTGTGTTTCTGTACAGAATGGGGTGTGTGTGTACAGAATGGTGTGTGTGTGTGTATGTGTACAGAATGGAGTGTGGGGGTGGGTGGAGGTGTACATAATGGGGTGTGTGTGTGTACAGAATGGTGTAGGTGGGTCTGTACAGAATGCTGTGTGTGTGTGGATACAGAATGGTGTGGGGTGTATGTGTGTGTTGTGTGTACAGAATGGTGTGTGAGCATTTGTGTGTGAACAGAATGATGGTTGTGTGTGCAGAATGTTGTGTGAGTGTTTGTGTGGGTACAGAATGTTGTGTGGGTACAAAATGGTGTGGGTGGGTGTGTACAGAATACTCTCTCTGTGTGTGTATGTATATATATATATATACAGAATGGTGTGGGGTGTATGTGTATGTTGTGTGTACAGAATGGTGTATGAGCATTTGTGTGTGAACAGCATGGTGGTTGCATGTACAGAATGTTGTGTGAGTGTGTGGGTACGGAATGTTGTGTATGTGTGCAGAATGTTGTGTGAGCATTTGTGTGGGTGGACGTATAAAACCAGCATATTAGAGTATGGTGGGGTATGTGTGAAAACTCGTATTACATGTGAGAGTGAAGCTACAATGTGTGTGTGATAACAGAGGACTGTGTGTATGTCTGTGAAGCAACAGCGTATTGTGTGCGAATGAAAAAACACTTGTGTGTGAGAGAAAGTGTGTCTGTGTGTGTGCAGCATGCCCTGGAGGGGAAGGAAGGGAAGGGGAGAATACAGAACCCCTAGTGTAACTGGTTCCAAATGCTGCACGTTCCTTTAGTTCCTAGTTGTGATTCATACAGTGTTAGTGTTGAACGCTATTTACAACAGAAGGTCTAAAGCTGACCAGGCTGTACGTTGGAAGAGGTGATGGTTGGAGGTTAGCAAAATCTCAATGCAATCCTAATGTCCTGCTGTAAAAGCCAGTCCTACCAAATCAGTGCCATCAAATGTCAATGTGATCAAATCAGTTGCTCTCAAATCTTAAAGTTGCAGAAGGAGTTGTGCATAAGAACTGGGTTCGGTAGATCTGTGTGTTGAAAGCTTCGCTGGTGGTTAAGAAGCGAGGGCAGAGGGCTCAAATCCTCAGCTGGCATTAATTGGCATCACTTAATTGAAGTCAATGGAACTACTCTGCGGGTCTGGACCACTGGGCATATTTATTTCCCACCCATGAAAATAGGACACAGCCCTAGCTCATAAATGCATTGTTAGCCTAGAGGCTATGAGTCACCACTCACATGTGTCTGTGCCGAACCTGGAAATAAGCAAGGTGCCAATGTGTTTTTCCTTGTTATTTTTGACACAGATGAAATATACAATGCGTAGCTTTGTTAGCGGGAATTGGTGTGCGCCTGCTGTGAGTTTCAGAATCCTCATCAGGTTACCGAGTCTCACAGCTCGGCTGCGTGCCCTGGCTGTATATTGCAGGTATCGAATAAAACACCCTACGGGTAACAGAACGGAGATTTTCCTTGTCAGTGGACAGTCACGCAGATGGCTGCCGATCTCAGCTTAATGATTCTGGCCTCAGGCACCATCGAATATGATCTGGATAGAGACGTGCTATTGCTCGCTATAGCAGGTGAATCGTTGTGTGTTTCCCATGTAGGGGATCCGAAGCCCGTCAGTGTCAATGGGAGTCTTTTCATTGCCTTCAGTGAGCTCTGGATCCGGCCCCAAGCCTGGCTCACCAGAATTCACAGCAAATTGGGCCCTGGAAATTTAGAGCCAGACCCTCAGCTGCTGTTGGTGTATCTGCAGTGGCTTTCCGTGGAATTACACCTGTTTACACCACCTGAGGATCTGGCCCTTAGCCTGTAAAATCTCTTTTGAGATCACGTTCTCCACAGTTCTCATTCATCCTCCCATCAGTCTCATAGCACACCCTCACTCCTGCTCTGTCACAAGGATCAGGAGTTCCGGGGGCTCCTGGATGGCCACCCCGTAATGCTAACGCCCTGTCCAATCTCTTACAGTCTGTGTTGGCTCAAGAGCACAAGGGGCTGTAGCCCCAAAATTAATGCCTTCACTCTAGGTTTCTAGCTCCTGTTGGAGGGGCAAGGACAACAATCCTCCTGCCTTGGCATAGGGAGCTTAGAAGTTTCTTTACTCAAGACAGCAATTCTGTCATCCCCTGTTTGCTCTGTAGGATGTTAGACAGTTTGTTTAAAACAAAAGCCATGTTCTTTCCGTACCCCCCACTGCTCACCATAACCCTCGCTGCACCTGATCACTGGGGCTGTCACTCATCTGGTACCAAATTTACCTCCCTCCCACACAAACCTACCAGCACTTCCCGGGTGAGGCCTGTAAATTATTGATATTGGGCATGCAGAGCCATCAAACTTGGGGCCAGATGCTGATGCTCTTACTGAAAATATCTGTGAAGTAATGCACTCTTCAGGGCTCGGGTAGCAGCATCCGGCCTTGAGGTTACAGAAAACTCAGTATATTTTAGTAGATAAATCCTGCACCATCTCCAGCTTCTCCCTTGACTATTATTTATAGTAATATTACTGTAGCATCTAGGAGCCATGGGCATGCACAACAAGCTGTTTGTGCAAGGTGATGTACACACGTTTGCGCGTGTGTTTTCCTCATTTGGGGATCTTTATCTCACCTTTTAACAGTCAGTTTCACACATTTAGAACCTGGGGGGTTGTGAGTTGTGTACTTTGCTCTTATATGGGGTTTTTCATCTGTGGATCTCAAAGCACTTTACCAAAGTAAGTATTAGCCCCATTTTACAGGTAGGGAAACTGAAGTATGGAGAGGTGAAATTATTGGCCCGAGGTCACACACTGATTCAGCGGCCGAACTGGGACTAGAACCTAGATCTTCAGACCCTTAGGGAAGATTGCCTCCCCTTTGAGAGGCAGCCACCCACTTGAAAATCTCTCTGTGCATTTTTCAGCTGCAATGTGAAAGACCTACAGCCCTGTCATAATTGCTCAATCGCCAACTCCAGTGTAACCAGGCCTTTGATTGGCGTGGTAAGAGAATAGGACTGGGAATCAGTCTTGGGTAACCTCGGCAAGTAACTTAGAGCACAATTTTCAAAAGTGCCTAAGGGACTTAGAAGCCTATGTCCTTGGGACTTAGGCCCCTAAGACACTTAGGGCCAGATTTTCAAAGGTATTTAGGTGCACAAAGATACAGATAGGTGCCCAGGAGGAGTTAAATATCTGAAAATCTGGTCCTTGAAAGTGTTACCCTTCAGCTCTAAGGACCTGGCTTTCAGGTGCCGAGCGCCCCGGCAGCTGAAGATTCTCAGGCACCTCTGAAAATCAGGTCCAGGACTCCAGTTTATTATCCGTTTGCAAAATGGGGCAATGGTGCCGACATCACAGAACACTGTGCAGCGCCAATCAATGTTTGTGAAGTGCTTGGAGAGTCTCTGGGGGAAAAGAAATTGTCTAAGTGTTGTGATCAACATCATAACATGCGCATAAGAGGCTAACGATGGGTAGTAATCAGAGGTAGGAACTAAATAAGCTGTTTATTACGTGGGCTGTCGTAAAATGGCAGCTTTATTCCACAGTGCTTTGATTTACAATTTCCACCGCAGCTGCAGAAATTAGCAAAGATTTGTCTGGCGCCTGGGTTGGAAAAAGAAACCCTCTTGCTCCCCTTTCATCCCACCACTCCGTTAGTCTGAAGTGCTCATCCTGCTGATGAATGGCAATGAATTAAAGCGGCGAACTTCCAGGAGGTTAATGATTCCCATTGTTGTGGCATAAGTGGCTACTGCGAAATCTCTGGTTTGCCGCCCCAGAGACGAAATATACGAGCAGAACCACACTCTTGCGTGCGGAGCCAAAAGCCAAATTCACAGGAATTTAGCCTAACTGGGCAAGATTGAATATACCCCATCAAAATCCCAACTTTTAGCGCTTTTCAATTTCCCTCTGCCAGCACATTCGGTACATAGCAACCAGCACACCAGATTGGTCCAGCCCGGCTTTGGCTGTGCGGGAAATAAATGGTGTGACTCACAGGAGGTAAGTTACCCCACAAAACACAGACTGCATCAGGGCTGGAAGAAATGGAATGACCTGTGCGTGATCCATCCTGCCCAATCCTGCTCCCATTGAACTCAATGGGAATCGCAAGCCACGCAGGCCCCTTTCATTCTGTAGTGAAATCAAATAGGTCAGTGCGGGATTCCCCCCTCCCCACCCTGTCTTAGATATAGAATTGAAAAGGATTTTTTTGGACCTGATTCTGCACCATTGGCACAGCTCACATTGACTTCAATGGGCCTGATCCGAAGCTCCTTGAAACACTCCCCTTTGGCTTTGACAGTAGCAAGATTGGACCTTTACTGATTCGTTTTAGGGGGCTGGGGTAGGAAATGTACAGCGCCGTGAAGCCTCGACTTTTGAAAGGAAGGGAAAGTACAGTATGGTTAAACTGCTCAAACAGTAGCTATCGTGGTATGTTCTCTGCCGCATCCTAGCAAGTAAAATTGGCCTGCTAAACCCAGAGTTGTGAGTTCAATCCTTGAGGGGGCCATTTAGGGAT